CAGTGTCTTCATATGTATCTTAGAAGGATTTGGGAGAGAATTTGTATCTGTGGTTGTGACTCCAACACAATTTTAAACCTGATTGCAAACAACAACAAAAAAAATCAGATTGGACTCAGATTTAAATATATTGTGCCATATAGACTTAATATAAGTGAACACTTAGTCCAAACATCACTTTATAGACAAGGGAAATGTGACACAAAGAGTCATTAGTCAATTTCTCAAAATCATAGCTAGTTTCATTCATAAAGTCTATATACTTTTGGACCCAATATTTCCACTTCTGGGTGTTAATCCTAGAAAACTATTGAGAAAGTACAAAGATAGTTGCATACATGTTTTTATCCTTGGAAAAAAGTTAACAAAAGAACACAACACAAAAACAAAACCACATACCTAATAACTAAATGATACATGGTTGATTAAATAAAGCAGGAAAAATGCAGACAATGGAACACTGGACAACAATTAAGAATAAAAGCATCTAATTACATATGTTGACATGGAATGCTGTTCAGAATGCTACAAACATGATTTTATTATTGGAAGATGAAATGTACTCTAAATATTGCTGGGAGACAACGCTGTGGAAGTAAGTCTATGTTTTAAAGAAAGTTAAATCCAATATAAATAAAAGTCTGGCCCTAATAAGATATTTTACAAGTAGGAATACACTATTAACTTGATACTGAGTTGAGTAGTTCTTCACAGTATTAATAGTTTCTAACCCTTATAACAAAAATTAAAAGCAGCCCAAATACTGTCAAAATACATGCATCAGATTTTTTTTAAATTTTGGTTTTAACATAATGTGATGTACTTACTTTAAAAAATATCAAAATTTTTGTCAAATAAGCATAAAAAATTCCTAGATTTTGTGTTTGTCTAGGCTTTTCTGTGGAGTTTTCTTTTCCCTCCACATATAGTAATAAGAGAAAATGGCCATCAAGAGACGAAAGTGAAGGCTTTCAAAGAACAAATCTATTCCTTAAATTGAAGGATACAGTAATAAAATTTCTATATGGAAAAAAAAATCTGTCTCCTTCATAGATCTGAATACTTTATAGACTTTCCAAATGTTTATAAGCTCTGCACATTCAAATAGTTTTCCACTCTATGAAAAAAAGAAACGTACTACCAACAAACAAAAGCAAGCACTATATCTTAGCTCTTAAATCAATTTTTTATTTCCTGTAAGGCTTTTAGATAAACTAGTACATACTATCTTTTCATTAAAGATACATGGCCTCTACCAATTGAAATCTGAGGCTGAAATCCATGTTTCCAAAAACCTCCCCTTATAAGGAAAATCAACCACTAGAAAGATATCCCAAGGGCTTAATATTCCCCTGTCATATAGAGCTTTCAAAACATCTCCCTTAATGGCCATCCAATGGCAAAATCCAATAAACCAAAATTTATAATTTTTATCCCCCTTAAACTATCTAGAGTTGATCTATATTCTTTTCTTTTTTCTTTTCTTTCTTTTCAAATTCTTTTACACTCTCTACTCCTTTGACTTGGAGGAATCTACTCTTGGACAAGTTCCCCCCAATTTCTATTTTTTCTCATTTGCTTCTGCTGATTCCTTTGTAACACAGAATCAAACAGTGGTATTTCCTAGATCCTTAATCCTCTACTTTTCTTTCTGTAAACCCACTCTTGTGTCGTGGCATAACATATACTTCATCAATTGACCCCAACATATCTCTCTCTTCTTCTCTCTTCCCAGTTTGCCATGTAAGCTATGTTCTGTTCTCAACAACATATTCAGACCTATTCTGAATATTCAACATTATTCAGACCTATTCTCTTCCTCTTTCAAGAACGGTTTTTAGTCATTTCCCATCTGTACAAATACTACACTTTTTTTTTTCAAAATACTATGAAAATATCACTTCATCTATAAAGTTTTTCTCTCCCCAATAAGTAATCACTAATTGATCTCCATTGAGATATTTTCCTATAATACTTTGGTTACATTTCTTTGTTTGTTTTAAATTTTTTATTTAACTTCCAGTTAGATAATGTATAGTGTAATATTGGTTTCAGAAGTAGAATTTAGTGATTAATCACTTACATATAACACCCAGTCCTCATTACAAATGCCTTCCTTAACACACATCACCCACTTAACTATTATAACAATTGTCAAATGGAATTTTAAGGTTTTTAAATCCATTCATCTACCAAAATAAATTTTAAATTCTTCAAAGGAAAATCCACATTGGAGTTAGTAGAGTGTAAAGAAAGTAGTACAGAGTAAGAGTTACAACTGGGGCATGAACTTCAGAACCAAGCAAGTATCATCTGAGTCTCAGGTATCCTTAGCTTCCTAGTATGTAACTTCAGAGTTATCATCTGTGAAATGGGGATAATAATTACATCATGATGATGATAACATCATAATATCCTAACTTTACATAAAATATGTAAAGTGCCTAACAGTGTTTGGTAGAAAGTATTTGCTAAGTCAGTTTTAGCTCTTACTAATTATTCTTCCAAATTTACACAGGGTCTCATTCATCTTATGTTATCAATAAACATTTGGCAAATGGATTAATGAATGGATGATAGCAGAATATCAATAACTCTCCTATGCTTCTTTTATAGATTAAGTTATTTGAGGGATTCACTAAGCATTACTGCTACCATCAGATAAAATTTTAGGTTTTAAAAAACAAAGGCGCAGACAAAATTTCATAAAACCAAATGCATATAGAGATAACGACAAACATACACAAAAGTAAAATGTTTTTGTTTTAAACCTTTCCAATTAATTTATTTTTCCTCACTGAACTTATGAAATAGGCTTATTATCACCTTGAAAGGTGATAATCAGGGGCTGGGTGCCCCTGATGATACTTGGTAAGAGTAAAAAGTGGAAGAGAACATTATTGCAGGCTGCTACTCCCATGAGAGATATCGATTCTGGGGACACAGGAGCATTCTCTCGGCAGACATGTTCCTAGACCTATTTATGGGGAGGAAGGAGGGTTGGTCTGAAATGTTATGGATACTTTGCCTGGACATAATGAAGAGGGGCAAGAATAATGAAGACTGGGCCCCAGAACAGGCATTACTGTTGTCCCAAACATGAAGTATCATGAGTACCTACATCAATGTTTAGCCAAGGATCACTCTGGACTTATTAAATCTGAAATATCCATGAATTTCTTTCCCTTGCTCTTCTACTCTCCAGTTGCCCTATGCAGGCTCAAGCACTTGTCACTTTTCTCCTGAAGTGGTGCCAAATCTTCTCATGTGGAGTCCCAGCAGCTGATCTCCAGGGCTCTCCCCACATGCCAATGAGCATCACCTTCAAAAGCCAACTCCTTCAGCTCAGATCTCTGATCTCTGGCTATTCTGATCTCTGGCTCTTTTTGGGATCCTATGTAATCCTCTAACTTTGGCATAAATAGGATTCTAATTTACCATTTCAGTTTTATGTCTTCACACCCCTCCCCTTCCCAACTACAGTCACCCTTCAGTCTATTATATGCAGTCACTCATACTTCTGCAAATAGGCCACTAAGTCTCACATCCATGTCTTTGCTTATATTATTCTTTCTTTTCAGAACGCTCTTCCCAACCTCACTGAACTTCATGAATTATGTGAACCACAAAAAATCACCATTTCTATAAACCTTCCATTTCTGTTAACAAATCACTTGCCCTGCTATGACTTTATTGCCCTCTCTTTTTTCCTGTGTTCACACCTACATTATTATAGGTTAAGTTGTTGTTTATAAATTTTTCACCCCATTAATTAATGGGCTTCTTGATGGTGGGTTTTAATTTAATTCATCTTCACTTGTCTAGGATTTAGCACACTTTCAGGGTCTATAAATATTTGCCGAATGGCTGCAGGAATTTTGGGTGGAGCCAGGTTGAGGTAGAACTGAAGAAGAGTCTCCTCTGTCTTCACTTAAACAAGATACAAACCCGAGTGTGACCTGAGAAGTGAATCAATGTCTTAACAGATCAGTTTATATACATTTTGTAGGCTAACATTTAAAGTATTATTTTTGGATGTAGTTTATGTAGGAATATTGGTTTGACATATTCAAATATCTTCCAGGAAAAAAAAAAAAGGAAAGAAAGAATACCATTTTTTTCCTATGTGCTTACTTTAATCAGTTCCTTTTTCTTTTTAGTATTATCTAAAGAATGACATTTTCTTGAATGACAATATAGATAATTTGTGAACAAAACCACAGAGTTTTGATAATGAAACATCTGAATTTCAATACAATTGTGCTTAAAGACCATTAATAAGTACACTGTGACACCACCCTGGGGCTGCTATCAGGTGCCAGTCATGGCCTCTGTTTATGACACTAGGTATTATGGGTGATGTCACATATAAGCCATCTCTAAAGCTCAGATACAAAGTGCAAAAATTACTTCCGTTGTGATGAACATCGATAGTTACCCCAAAGGTGGCCCCTGAAATTTCTCAGAGGTAATGAGTTTGTTTGTTATGGACAAAAAGAAAAATTTAAACTATTAGGAAACCAAATTTTTACCATGTACTTATTTCTTCCATGAAGAAATCTTTCTGGTTAAGGTAAGAGTGTTCTCCATAAAAATATGGGAAAGCAAAATAATGTATTATTTCATCAGTACTTGAAATGGACAGTCAGTTACCAAATAAAAGCCACTATTCCAAATACAGTACAGACTATAGCAATAGTCTAAAAACACCTGCTTCTGTACTTCCTTAATTAAAAGCCACTATTCTAGCAAATGTGTATTTATTAGGCAGTTCCATGTGCTTTTTCATTCCCTCCATTATATTTCCAGACACTCTAGCTGACTGTGGTGCATACACTTGTCGGTGAGCGAAGCAAAGGTTAAGTGTGTGTGACACAGATGAGCCCTGAGATTAAGTATACACTGTGAAATGCATGTGGATGTTCATGACTTAAACCAATGAACTGTGGCCTGAAATGATGTCACACGAAGCGCAGTGGTAAGTGGAAGGTTAAACCTACTTGCATCTTGGCTCATTAAACGCAGTTAAAGTGCAAATCCCCTCATTCTGACAGTAGTGATCACAAGGGTTCTCTTTCTGGTCACAGCGCTGACTTTTAAACCCCACAGAGCATCTGCAGAATTTCAGTAAAATACAGCTAAATAAAGCGTCTGATTTTTTTTCCTAAATATGTTTCAAAATTATTTCATACAGAGATAGTAACATATGAATAAAACTTCATCAGGTATGCTCATTTCTCTCTCATTCACACTCATCACATGCTACTTTGACAAGATGGGGACAGAACGTGGATGTGGATCCTATGTGGATGTCATCCTTCTAGTTAAGCAGTGATAAAAGAAAACTCAAAATAGAAACCACATAAGTGGAATAGTTTTATTTCAAGTTGTCCATTCTGGACAGAGGGAAAAATACTAAATTCTAGATTTTTCTCATGAGCAGAGAATCTCCAACACTTTCCAAATGTTTAGAAACCCAGATTCAAGTTAATGAATTCCAAAGTGGACACAGCCTTAATAGGCTTACATAATACAATACTCTGCACCTGATACAAACATCAAATAGCATTATACATTTGAAAAGATACCACAAGTTCTTTTGGAAAGAATGGTTGTAAGTACCAAGTGTTCGTAAATATGATTATGCCTGGGTTTCCCATATCTGAATAAGGTAGAGTAATTTTCCCTGGCATTTCCAAGTTCAAAGATCTATGAATGTCTTTAATGGGTATGATGCTAAGAATTGAATGAGCTCTTCCTTATGAAATTACAAGTAAATTGATGAGGGAGGAGATTCTGCAGCATATGAGCCACTAAGGAGTAATACTTGATCAGAGATGTCCATGAAACATTCATTTAAAATGTATTATGCCCCCCCCAATAAAATGTATTACCCCAAGAAAGGAGAACAATAGAGGAGGGATTCCAAGTACATACAAAGTCATACCACAAAATGCCCATAACATCCTATAATACTCACAGACACACAGGTACATTTGTCTCAGGGTCCAGCTGGCATGTGCCACCATTGTAACAGTAGCCATCACATAACTGACAGCTAGAGGCAATCTTTCCATTAGTGCAGCTGCAGCAACAAAGAAGAGAGAAATCTCATTGTTACTGGCATCATTATTGTTGAAAGCTGACATAAACTCTCTGCAGATGAGAATATTCATCACAGAGGAGTAATGGAATGCCTGGCTAAAAGGAAGTTTTCAGAAAGACAGACTTCCTGGAGGCAAATATATATATATATATATATATATATATATTTTACAAAATGATGACAGATAAATGTTTTCTTTTGGTAATTTTCAAATTTTCAACCCATTTGCTTAATATAAAATTTTAATACCGCTATATATATGTGTGAAAAATATGCTTTAATGTCTAGTACTTACACTGAAGGGAAACATTAGCATCAAGATCTTATTCCCTTTTCATATAACCAGGGCTTGGTGACATCAGTGTGAATTATAAACCACATGATCTAATATTCTGGAAGCAAATGCTTCAGCTATTTCTTGTAAACTGGAAAATCTGGTCCAAAAAAACTGTTACGAGTTTTAGATTCCAGGTTTTATAAGAAAGTATAGGGTTATCTGGTAGTCATTTTGTCCCACTGCTTCTCTTTGATTATGTACTGTAATTAATGTCATTTTTTTTACTCTGACATATAAAAAAATCATGCAATGTTCATTGCAAAAATAAACAGTAGTGTACTAGGAACAATATGTAGTCTGGCAACAAGGTAACAAGGTAGGGTTTCTTGGAAAACTTATGAAAACAACTCTAATTTACAACACATTACATGTCTGAAATAAGAATAAACACTAAGGCTATTGCTGCATGGGGGAAAACAAGCATAACAATAATAGGAAAAACACAGAAATTTCTTACTTGCAATGTTATATTTTGACATAAATAAATACTATTAGATTGGACTTTGAAAATTGTTTGGGGAACAGACAAAGGTGCGTCGACATTCTAAATTATCAAGAGATCTCTTGTATGAGAAGTAGGGTCATAGAATCATACAAGCCTTGGCCCAAATCAGAATTACAACAGATCATGCCACTATTCGGATGATGAGATCATGTTGGCACTAGGTACCATAAAGCAATCAGTAGGTGTCACAAGCTTGACTCATAAATCAGATTGCAATATCACTGATCACTTTGATCCTTTCCATGATGGATATCTATTGTGTTACATCCATTGAAGTGTAATTCCCAATGACTGGTTAGATTCCTGCTATGATCAGTTGGTGATCTTAATTAATTTATTCTGTGAATATTTATTTCACCTCTTGTAGGTGGTAAGCCTGCTGGAAATACGCCAAATGGCCTATCATTTTTCCAGGTGTTCAATTTAAAGATATTTTTTAAAAGCCTAGATATTAAAATCGTAATTCTTTTCAAGATGAACAGAAGCCATGAGTCAACTATGTACTGGTTACAGAATGGATATATATGAATGTAGAACCAACATGGAGAAGAAACCAGTAGTTTAACATTTCCAAGATTTAATAGAGAATGTCTTAAATCTAGAGGTATCTGAATATGGATGCAAAGTGAGACAAATATACATAGTGGTATTAGTGTCTTATATGTTAAATGGATCTGAGAGACTTTTCCTTGCCCTCATCCCAGCCTACTTGAAAATCAAAGAGCAGCAAGTTATAGTTTCTTGTTCTATCAAAAGGACAACGTCAAAGAGAAAAAAAGAGCTCATTATACATTAAAAGATTTCCTACCAAAAAAGATAACTATACACCAAATATCAGCTTTTAAAAGAGAAAAAAATTCTAAGTATGATTGCTTTTAAACTCCTGCTTTCAAAAGTTATAAAAGATGTTGCCTCTTTCTCCTTCTAAAGGTCTTCTTTAAATCCTTAATTGAAGACAGACATTTGTGTATATTTCAAATGTGAAATACAGATTACTGAAATCATTATAATGCATCAAAGAGTTCAGCTCATATTTTAATGCCGGTTTTCATCACAATTTCATTTCTTAGAGGCTTGTGTCACACACACACACACACACACACACACACACACACACACAATTTGTGATATATCACTTTCCCCAAAAGTGAATTACCAGTTGTCCCATATGCACAAAGAATTCCCATAACAACTGACATTGCAAAGGTATTATTTAGGCTATTCAAAATTATGATCAAGTCATTCTTCATCAATATTTACTTAGATTTTCATAAAAGAGAAAAATATACAATTAGCTCCATTTTTAAAGATCATATTTACTATACTTGACAGAGTATCTATTCTAGTTGACAGCTCATAGACAGTGCATTAGAAACACACCTGACTATTTGGCATCATCACACATATACACGGAGGCTTGAATCCTCCTATTTATGTAAAAGATTTACTGTAACTCAGTCATGGTTGTTTTAGTATCAGTTACTTACCTATGAGACAGAAATTCTACCATCACTGTAAACGCCATTTAATGCTGAGATGAAAAGTGTCATAGAAATGAAGAGAAATTTGTCTAAAAAGTTTCAGAATACTCAGTCTTGTTTGTCTTATCATGCTCATATGTTAGTCTATTTGATCAAGTATTGTACTATTATAAGCTTCCACTATCTACTTGTTTGTTAGCAACTAATATTTATCTATTTGACATACTGTTCAAAAAAGGATCTTTTAAGGGTCAAGAACTACAATGTTGGATCTTTGTGGCCTACTCAGGTTATGAGGTTCTAGAGTTTCCAGGTTGGTAAAGCCAGTTTTCTCAGTAGAGTGGGCAGTTCTGAGAGCCCGGAAGAGTCTCGCCCTTCTTTCTTCACGTGGAACTCCCTCTTGTAATGGAAACATGGTGTGGGTCTCTGCATGAACTTTTCCAAGGTAACAGAAGGAAATTGTGGCATATAGCCTGTCTTAGATGATAATCTATTACTTCCTGTGTGAATGGAATGCAGTCGTAAGCAAGACACTACAATGCATTCTGATATGGTGCACTGGACACAGAGAAAAATATATGTTCACTCATGAAAACCAAGTTCTGTCTTGCTCAAGTTTCATCACAAAGAACTGATGAGCTTAAGGAGCAAACATGATTTTGGTCATTTGCGTGAAAATGCCTTTGCTTTTATATACTTATCAAAGGCACATATTTATACTTAGTCATATTTTCAATTACTTTACTTAAAAAATAATGTACTTTCAAATGACCCAATTTGAGGGCTTGAGTAAATGTCATTCTTAATGATAACACAAATCATACTTAGCGTAAATTCTAAAATGTGAGCAAATAAAAAATAAAAATATGTTGCTGCTGTCTGTAATGAAATTTTATTGGGCCTTGTTTGGCAGAGCAACATCACTCAGGGCTGGCACACTCACAGAGCTGTCTCAGGAGAAGCCGTGGGATGAACACTTGACGCCATGCTTTTCTACCTCATGTTCTCATTTATGAGTCTCCTCGGCAAGGTAAGTGATGGACTCCAGTGCTTTTAAGTTCTTCTTTTAAAAGGTTGTGAAAAGAAGTTCAGAGTGAGGACTGAACTCTAACCTCAGCGGCATAAACTTTTTTCACAACAGAACCCGACCGGCATTACCCTTTAGCTGTGATGCTCTGTTTTCCAGTCACTTGGTCTTAAAGCCAAAGGGCAAATGCAACGTAACCAAAGTCTAACTTGGACATTTTTATTGTAGGTGCCTCCTAGGACACATTATTCTTTCTCCTAATTTTGGACTACTATGCTTAAAGTCAGATAAAAACCCAAAGATTAATATGTATTCCCATTAGACAGCTCTTTTGCTCCTCCCCCACAAGTTCATTTTGTAACAACAGAAAGGAAACACTCACTGTCAATAATAATGATGAAACATTTAAAAGCCTGAGCTATTCAAATTTAAGAATATTACATATAGCTTTTTGAAGGTATGTTGCATTTCACTATTTCTTGCTTACTATTAGGAATATTCTACATAGGGAATGACCTGATCATATCATTACATGATTGCATGAGTAATTTTCATGTTTCCCAGTTGCATATTATAGATGTTGAATAAGTTCATTTAATTGACATGAACTGAATTTTATCTACAACCAAAAGGAGAACAGAATGCACTGGTCACTATATAGAACCTTAGGATAAAAACAATTTGCATTATTTTCACTTCTATTGCTGAACTGTTACATCCTTCTGGGTTTAAATGCTTTTATAGATTAAGCTGAATGTCCACTTACTTGCAAAATATATCTTCACTGTCTTTATTTATAATACAATGCCCGCCATGGCACCTTATACATTTGTCAACCTCACATTTTGGACCTTCATAGCGTGTTGGACAGATGCAGTCAACACTTCCATCATCACCAATGGTACAGGATTCAGAATTCACACAGTAGTGGTGACAGACATCTAGGAAGAACGCAGAACAGAGAAAAAGAAATTATACTACAAGATGTTTTTCTTTAGTCACAATCCCTGTTATCATTTCATTTGGTATTTAAAGATGGTGAATCATTAAGCAAATATAAAAATAAGTAAATTAATCAAAACATCTAAGTATTAAAAAATGGCCAGTCGGTAAGTAGATTAATTTACAAAATCAGCTTGTGATTAAATGTAACTAGGATTCTTTAATAATGCTATTGATTCCTCTTTTTGCCAGTCAGGCGTCATTTCATCTGCTAAAAAAAGGTAAGTTATATTGATATCATGCTAGCTGAGGAAGTCTTTTGGTTCTGAATTTTAAAGTTTAAGTTAATCAGGTTCCATAGTTTCCTTCTCATGGGCAATATTAGTATTATTCTGAAATGAGCAGAAATACTCCAGATTTCTTTGGATGTCATTTATTGTTTCCTTTCCTTGCACTTTTTTCATCTGGAGAACAGGGTAGTATGTGATGAGTGGGGGACTCCTACCACTGCATCAGCCCTTTGTGGTGCAAAGAAGCATGCCTCTACACACAGCAGCAGAGGCCCACTACTTCTGAACACCTGAACAGGTGAGCAAACAAGGAGATGTGCCTCTCATGGAGCACCAAGAGAAAAGCGAACCAGGAAACTGATCCATCATGGGTGGGAAGTGAGCAGAGGTCTAGGCTATTGTTCCCCTTCTAGGTAAGAACCTAACATCCCTGAGGGAAAACCTCCATGTGATGTGAGTCTTTTGTTTGGAAAGATGTTTCTTATTGAACACTATAGACAATTTTCTCAACTACAAATGACTTCCTCAAATATTTCTATACCCCTTGAATGGGAATAATAAAACAAAGACCATGTAATAATGCAATAACCACTCTATCTTTATAATTAGACATTCTGACTCAGTCTTCTGAAATGCAGACAAGTATATATGTACGTTTGTATATCAACATGCTACAATTTATCACATTCAAAATATTGGAATTCATAATACAATAATCCTAAGCAAAAGAACTGATTAGATCAGTCTCAGACTTTGTGTTTAGAAGCTGCAATTTCCTTTTAGCTAACTAATTGTGAAGCAATGTTAAATGTGATTAGCTGAGATAAAAATCTCAATTTATAAACTTTAACCTGCTGTAAGACAGTTAGAGCGGGTGAGGAAAATTAAAACATAATTTATAATTCTCATGTTTGTATATTTATCTAGACCTTTATTAAATCAGACAGAAATTAAATTTATTGACAGGCTGCTTCATATTTATGGAAATTTATTTCAAGCATTCTTATGCTTGCTCTTGCATTATGCCAAGTACCCTCATTGAGATTCAGCGCTTAAGTCTATTAGCAAGGTTTTGGCTATATTTAAAAAAAGTAGCACTTTCAAAAGGTGAGAGACTTGAAGATCTAAAAACTAAGGCGGTGTTAGTATCTATCCATGATGGTGTCTGTTTGCAGTTGCTCCAGGCTTGGTGGTTAGAGAGCACACATCAGAGACTCTGTTTTTATTTATGAAGAATGTATGATCAGCTGTCTATATGAGCTTCTCTCCCATTCAGTGCAGAAATCTCTAGAAAACAACTATCATTAGCTCAGGTTGTTCAATACATCTTACTGACAAAGAGCTCTTTTCATATCACCCCCCAATCGCTTTAAATGCCATACTCTGATCCTGGTTCAACTGTCTGATGGGGCATAGAAATTGGTTTGTGTATCCTTCTAAGATCTTCTTAGTACATCCTTATCCATAGTGGATAACTCATCAAAATCATGTAGGTGACTTATTTGCAAATGTAAATTCCAGTGCTCATCCCTGTCACTACTGCCCACTCATGACTACATTCTAATTCATGAATCTGAAATGGGGCCCAGATGATTTCCATGTGACTGGTTGAGGAACTAAAATCTGGGAACGGGGGAATATAAGAAATGATGACCCAGAAATAAATTGTACTGATTAGCATAGGGACTACATTGTTCAATAGTTGTAAAAGGATTTGATTCAACCAAAATAGCTTCTTTCTTCATTTTTTCCTCTTTCTTTCTTTCTTTCCTTCCTTCCTTCCTTTCTTTCTTCTTTCAAGAGAGTGCATGTGAGCAGGGGTGAGGGGCAGAGCGAGAGGGAGAGAATCTTAAGTAGGCTCAATGCCCACTGCAGAGTTAGTTGTGAGACTCAATTTCATGACCCTGAGATCATGACCCTGAGATCATAACTTTAGCCTAAATCAAGAGTTGGCAATTAACCAACTGAGTACCCCAGGTGCCCCTAAAATAGCTTATTTCTTAACTAACTTTGTGATCCTTAATTAAAATGCAATTTTAATCCAAAATTTTGGGCCATTTTATTTTTATGATGACATCACTGAGAAGACCTGAGAAACTGGACAAACAACTGGGTTAACATTCTGATGTTTGATGATTGCCCTGTAACACACTGTAGCAAGGAATACCTCTCATTTGCCTGAAGTGCTAAAGGGTAAAGTTAAATACTCACCTACAATTTACTAACTATAAGTAATTTTGGTGCATGGATTAAGTCTGCCTTAGGCTAAGATTAAAAAAATGTGAGAATATATGCAACTTATTGGTGTTCAAAGAAATACAAATTACTATTGCCTGGGTGGCTCAGTCAGTTAAGTGTCTGACTTCAGTTCAGGTCATGATCTCAGGGTCCTGGGATGGGACCCCACACTGGGCTCTGCACTCAATGAGGTATCTGCTACTCTCTCCCCCTCCTCTCATGCTTGATATTTCTCTCTCTCTCTCTCTCTCTCTCTATTTCAAATAAATGAATAAAATCTTAAGAAAAGGAAATGCAAATTAATACCTAAAAGATATACCATTGCACTTCCACTTAGTTGACAACAAATAACAAACTCTCATACACTACTAGTAGAAATACAAATTGGTTCAATTGATTTGGAAAGTGATTCACAGTAGGTACTGTCAATTAGTAGATACTCTATTTGAACATACCCACACCTTATGACCTAGCACTTCCACTCTCAATATATATCCAAGAGGAAAGCATGAATTTGTGCACAAAAATATGTATGTAATATGCACAGCAACCTGTGCATAGAATCAGCCCCAAACTAAAAATAATCCAAATGTTCATTGCAAGAAGAAAGGACAAACTCTGGTTCATTCACACAAAGAAATATACACACAAATATATGTATACATACACATAAATAAAAAGTGAAAGCAGTACAGCTTATAAGTAACAACATGGATGAATCTCACAAAAGTAGTAAGAGAAAAAAGCTGGACACAAAAATATATACACTATTTTTTAATTTACATAAAGTTCAAAAGGCAAAAGTAATCTAGGGTTTTAGAAGTCAAAAAGAACTTATTTTGGGGGAGAAAGGAAGGTATAGTGAGAAAAACCATTAAGGAGCATCTGAGGTACCAACAGTATTTATTCTTGACCTGGGTGTTGGTTCACGCTGCTGTGTACACCTGGTGATAATTTATTGAACTGTAAACTTGTGATTAAACTTTCCTATTTATATTATGCTTCAATAAAAAGATTTTTTCTAACCTAATGGCAAATAAACTACAATTACAATATTTTAGAGATTCGAGTTAATTTGCTAATTAGAGTAAACAGGTTTTTTCTTTATAAACAGTTCTATTGAAAGGAATTCATGATCTACTTTTTATGCTTTAAAGAAAATTCTCTACCCTTTAAAGCTTTCAATATTTTTTTCCTAGCATATCAGATGCACAAAATTCAATGCAGTTGATTGGCCTCATGGCATAAAAGTGGAATCAAAAGAATGTAAAAGAAATGCTTGCTTAAGATAAAATTGTGAAATAAGAAGATATTAGAATTTGCACTTTAATAAATAATTCTAAATTGCATGCTGTTAAGCCATGCCACTTTCTTCCTTCTAGAAAAGACAGAAATCATTTTAGACTCAGAACCCCTTCTCTACAGATATTCAAATGGGAGATACTTCATTTTCCCCAGTTCACATGCTTCACACTTGACACTATGTTGAAATTCAGGGACAGAGAGTCGCTCACTATACTCTGACCCTGTCAGTGTTGCTTCCCAGAGCCTTTCTTTGAAAATGTTCTGACTATCTCCCACTATTAGGCTTCAGATGTGGAGCATATGAACTCACTTGATTTATATGTTCAGCTGGATTGTTTTCTGCACCACTATTAGGATTCTAGGGCCCAACCCTTGGCATGCATAGTCTCTCCTCCTCTCCTTCCTCTGTCTCTCTCTGTCTTAAAGACTTCAGTATACTCAATTCTCACTCCAATATTCCTTAACATAAGAGAAAGTAACCTTATTTAATAGGAGACTTCGTCATCTGCTATTTAAACTACCACATAAGCAGAGCACCTGGGTGGCTCAGTTGGTTAAGTGTCTGCCTTGGCTTAGGTCATGATCCCAGGGTTCTGGGACTGAGCCCCACATTGGGCTCTCTGCTCAATGGGGAGTCTGCTTCTTCCTCTCCCTCTGCCTTTCCCCTGCCTGTACTCTCTCTCTTTTTAACAAATAAATAAAATCTTAAAAAAAAAAAAAAACTACCATGTAAGCATTTGACACTTGTAAATTGGAAAGCAAAATAATCCCTTCAATTGTTCTCTGTTATTTCAATTTTACTCATGACACATATCATGGAAAAAAATGGTTCGTGCTATTTCTAAAATGGATGATTCAACCAAAGTTCACGTTCTCTGCAATCATCTCAGTATAGGACAACAATGTATAATAAGTCAGTGGAGAGTGACCTAACTTCTCTCTCATTTTCTTCTCAGCTTTAACCCACTTTGAATTATAAGCATCTATACAAAACTTGTATAAATACGTGCAATATTTTCACCAGTGTCACCTCTGTATATACTCCCAAATAATTACTACACACTCATATTTAAATTCTCTCTCTTCATATTTTTATCTAAGAAGAAGAATACTTCATTGGCACTTTCTAATCCAGCAGAAATTTAGTGAAGTATGAAGAAGTATGA